CGAGTACAAATATCCGCACATTTCGAAGTCTGTGCAGGCGACGATTCAGAATTTTCAGACGGCACTCAAGATTGTTGATGGAGGTTATGATGCATTTCCGGATCAAAAGATGGATGCATTCATGTACGGACAAGAACCGCTTTACTCATCCGAAACGGCCGCTTCTACTGTTAATGAGCTGGTTGGATCGGTAGCTGCAGTAACGTAAATATCTTCTGTAATACTGCACAAAAATTTTATGCATGCAAAATAATGCATATTTTGCATGTAGAAATTGTTCTAGAACTCATTCATATTTCCAAGAGATAGCATTATAGAGAGACAAAGTAGTGTAGAACTTTTTGTGGTACAGACCTATCTGACAATTTTGATACTGTAACTTTTGCCTTTCGGGACCGTAGCTGCTTTCATTTGTGCTGAATACAGTCACACGGAATCGCCACTTTTCGAACGCATGAGAGATAATTTTTGATTATGCATCAACTGGAGGACTGAGTATACTGGGATGTATTTCTATGAGAACGCACCTTATGTTTTTATCAGCGCGAAATATTGCTTGAATTGAGAAATTTGTTGGCTGTTGTTTCAGTTTCTCAACCAAAGAAGATGTCGAAATGGTGCCACATGAACAAAAAGCTGCCAAGGAAACATTAGATTCTGACGATACAAACTCTGGATTGCACCCGAGAAAGACGTCTCATTATCACAAGATTATGAACCGAGTCAAGCACATGTCACTTAAAAAGTATGGAAGCTCCGAACTTTGGCCCAGTACATCACTCAAAAACCTGCCTTTTTCATTTTTTGAATCGATGTTCCTAAACAAAAATTTGAAAATTGGAGTGAACTGCAGCAATGGATTATTAGTTTTGGTAATTTCGGTAAGAAGCTTCATGTTTCAGGACACGACGAAACGCAGTGGTGTATTTCAAAGAATCTGAGGTTCCTAGTACGACTGCACAGCCATCCTTCATTGTAACACCACCTCCACTGCAAAGATCACAATCGGTTCCTGCCAATTCCGGTCCGTCCATATAAGTTTCCGTCCTCATATGTTCCAAAATGTAACAGCAATATCAGGATCAAACATATTTGCTTCATTGAATATCAATCATAATCAGCCAGATTTTTAGCTAGCAGAGAGGAATGATCTTGAACCTTTTTCAGCTAGGATATGTCTCCCTCGACTCTCGTTGCCAGCCTCATTAAGCTTTGGGATGGTGAATGAAGTAGACAAAGGCTGCCTGCTATCTTCACTACGTTTCGAGACGCTGAACGAAGTTGATGAAGTTGACGAGGAAGATGAAGATTCACAGCAGCCAGTCGCTATTTAAACTCCATTAAGTCAAGCCAGAGATGGGCAATATCGTGCTATCGCTAATTAGCGAAAATTAACGAAGTAGCTATTCCGCCATTTCATTAACTAGCGACGTGGCGGCGTCGCGCGTTATCGCTCATCTTCGAATCAAGCGACCATACTCGTTAACTGTGCTATTTTATTTGAATATCACGAAGCTGTAGTTTGCTAGCGTGATCGATATTCGATTCACAAACGAATAATAGACACCACAAGTTTTAAGTTCAAAATCATCATCTCACTGCAATTCTTAGGAATTACGCAATTACTATTGTGATTCAAAATGTTTGATGGTATCGATCGTCATGCTAGCGACTGATTGTAGTCATCTTAATATCTTATTATATTTTTATATGATATGACAATTGCAATACTAATATCTATCATTAAGCATGGAACTTCAGTTTCGAGCGATCACAAGAGACGCTTGAAACTGAAGTTCCATGCTTAATGATAAAAATCTGTATTGCAATTGTCATATCATGAAACATTTGGAGAATTTCGAACAGTTGTTTGAAAATGACTATGAAGCAGATGTGGTTTATTTGGTGAATGATGCTGAGTCGATTGGTTAATGTTGATTCGGAATAAAAACTTGAATTCAAATGCGATACTTCAACAACTGCAAACATTGGCGACATCAGTAAACCGTGACCAGCAGATGCACGTTTCCTCGATTTCGGTTCCGATTGAATANGTGAAAGTGTCAACGTTTACTCGGCAAGCAATCTCCACAAAAATAGTATACCTTGGGCTTTTCGCATAATGCATACATGCAGTTAGATAAATTCTCTTGTGAACGTTTTCCGGAGTAGTTTTCGTTGACTTCAACAGGATGTTGGATCAGTTTCTGTAGATACTCACTGCTAGTGTTGTGTACAGGCAAGGTATCGTTTCAAAAAACACTATCAATATTTCGGGCATATTTTAAAAATAATATTAGATTTCTATGTAGCTTTTGAATGAACTTTTGATCATTTCATCAGTCACCTTTATCAAATTACTCGTTGTTTTGGGGTGAACGATGCTGATAGGTATGTGGTTAGGTGGAATATGCATCTGCTTTCACATATCGATGCGATGTTTTGTTCGGATGGATGGGGTGTTGTCGATCGGTAGCAGCTGTGCTTCTGACGGTATTTTGTTCAGCTGTCACAAAAAGAGCACCACAACGATCTGTGTGAAAATATGTTGGGGTTTGCAGTTGGATGAATGTGTGTTTATGAAGACGATTATAATGCTTTGTTGCTTATTGCCATTAACGAATATTCATTNATTCATTACATATGAAAATGTTATTCTTTGTGCACAACAGCATCGTTGACCAACGTAAGGAACGCAGAAGGATGACATTGACACCAAAATGTGCATACTGAATGATAGATGTTTTGTTGTGCGCGAAAACGCTTGATGTTAGTTGATCACTTCCTATTTATCACTGCGTGCACTTCGGTTCTTTTCATCATTACAACATCTGTCATTGAATTATGTTTTGTCGCAAATAATGAGATTATTTTGAATTTGTTCGACGATTTCACATGATTTAAATCACTTTGTGTGATCATGTCCAAAGAAACAACGCGGCGATGAAACACTTGCAAAAAGACGCTTTGCTACCACATGTATCGTTCTGTGACATCGTGATCTCTCAGCAAAACAAGCACGATTATCAAAGGCGTTTCTGAATCAGAGTGTTTCAATCTCTTCTGGAAAGCGTCTTCGATGCACAGCTCTTCGAAGTTCGAATCAAACATTCCAGTTGGAAACTCAAGGAAACCGTTGTGATTTTTTTACATCAATGAGCACACGTAATCGTAAAATATAGCACACAGTCTACCGCAGTAAAGAATAGGGACATAAATATACCACCAATTAATGAATAAATAAGCTTAGACTTATTGCAGCTTTGTTCTATCAAGAAAAGGAACATGATGCAAACGCGTCAAAGTTTATCACAGTTAAAAGGAATTCAATATGACTGTCAGTGAACCCCTCGTGCAGAGTTGAATGTATTTTGCCAATGATTTTCACTTTCCTTCGATCAAGCGAGTTTGAGTTCTGAATGTGTGCACAGTATTTGGAGCAGAACAATCAAATTCAAGATAATCGAAAATTGAATCATCGTGAAAATCCATTATTGTTGATTATCAGCGTTTGAAAGTTCAAGTACATTACTCATTTCGAAAGCATCTGTGTAAATCGACGCTTTCATCACCAAAAGCCACTTTATTCATTTACGACCATAGCTGTAGAGTGAAAAAAAGAAGCACCATTTAATTTGAAAAGATCGAAACGGATTGTCACCTGTCTAGGATCTGAATATTTGTTCACCTGAATCAGTGAAGCTCTATGAGTTTGTCACATTTCTCTTAAAAACGATCGTTAAATTGATGAAAAAATTGACAAAAATTTCACACCTCTGAATGAGCACACCATTGATGGGAGCAGTTGAACACTTACAAACCTGTGATGCTAACAATTTTTATCTAAATTATTCGATGCAATACCTCAAACTTGTTTGTAAAGGAGAATCATAGATCTTCGTACAAGCCATACCTAAATTTCAGCAGCTATGCTAGGGGCTGTGTCACATACCTTCAAATTGTAATTGATATAATCAATCCTGTGAGCATATGACTGTTATATCCCCTTTCTCATACCGATAAGATGCATTTTCGAAATCCAACAGAAAGAGCACCATTTGTTGAGCATTAATAAACAGCTGATGTACAGATGCGGGTTACTTCTGTTGTGCAGCTGCTCTTGGAAAAATGATAGTCAATTGGAAAAACCTTCAAAATTATTTGAAGAAAGAATATTTGCTAATGTTTTTGATATGTCTTTTTCAACTGAGACGAGAAGAACAATCTGACACACATTTGAACAATTGTCATTACGCTGTTGCTACATCAGGTCATTCTGAATACCGTGCGCACAGTTAACTTCTCTATAACACCACAC